TGACAGAGAAATGGATAAAGAAAATGTGGTATATATATATATATATATATATATATATACACACACACACACACACATATACATAAAATGTGATAATACTCAGCCATAAAAAGAATGAAATAATGCCATTTGCAGCAACACGCATGGACCTAGAGATATCATACTTTAGTGAAGTAAGTCAGACAAAGACAGATATCATAAGATATCACTTATATATGGAATCTAAAAAAATGATATAAAGGAAGTTATTTACAAAACAGAAACCGACTCACATACATAGAAAATAAACTGAAGGTTACCAAAGGGGACAGGGATGGGGAGGGATAATTTAGGGATTTGAGATTAACACACGCACACCCTTGTCAGTTGAATCATTGCAAATATTTTCTTCCAGTCCGTAGATTGTCTTTATTTTGTTGGTGATTTCTTTTGTTGTGCAAAAGCTTTTAAGTTTGATTAGGTCCCATTTGTTTGTATTTGCTTTTATTTCTGTTGTCTTGGTAGACAGACCTAAGAACCTCTTCAAACAAAAGTCCAGGACTGGATGGCTTCACTGGGGAATTCTCCCTAACATACAAAGAAGAACTTAAATGTATCCTTTTCAAACTATTCCAAAAGATTGAAGAGGAGAGAACAGTCTCAAAGTCATTCTATGAAGCCACCATCACCCTAGTAACAAAACCAGACAGAGACACTGCAGAAAAGAGAATTACAGGCGAATATCTTTGACAAATATAAATGCAAAAATTGTCAATGAAATATTAGCAAACTGGATTCAACAATACATAAAAAGGAGCATTCCGTGATGAAGTTGGGTTCATTCCAGGGTCACAAGGATGGTTCAACACACAAATCAATCAATATTATACACCATATTAATGAAAGCAAAGGCAAAAACCACATGATAATTTCAATAGATGCAGAAAAATTTGACAAAATTCAATATCCATTCATGATAAAAACTCACCAAAGTGGATTTAGAGGGAACATATCTCAACATAATAAAAGTTGCTTATGACAAACCCACAGCCAACATAATATTCAGTAGTGAAAAGCTGAAAGGCTTCCCAATAAATTCAGATTTAAGACAAGATGCCCATTCTCACCACTGTTATTCTACATAGTATTGCAAATCCTAGCCACAGCAATCAGACAAGAAAAGTAAATAAATTTTATCCAAATTGGAAGGGCAGAACTTAAAACGTCACTATTTGCAGATGATATGATACTCTATTTCGAGTACCCTAAAGTCTCCACGTAAAACCTATTCAGTACTAATAAATGAATTCAGCGAAGTAGCAGGCTACAAGATTAATATACGGAAATCTGTTGCTTTTCTTTACACTAACGATAAAATATCAGAGAAAGTGTAAAAACAATCCCATTTAAAATCACATCAAAAAGAAAAAAGTATTGATACCTAGGAGTAAACTTAACCAAGGAGCTGAAAACTATATAACATTGATAAAGGAAATTGAAGGTAATTCAAAGAAAGGGAAAGATATCTCATGCTCTTGGATTGGAAGAATTAATATTGTTAAAATGGCCATACTACCCAAAGCAATCTACAGATGTAATGTGATCCCTATCAAAATATCCATGACATTTTTCACCAAACTAGAACAAATAATCGTAAAATATATATGGAACCACAAAAGACCCAGAATTGCCACAGCAATCCTGAGGAAAAAGAATAAAGCTGGAGGCATAACCCTTCCAGACTTCAGACTATATTACATAGTTATAGTAATCAAAACATTGTGGTATTTGCACAAAAAGATATTTAGATCAATGGATCTTTAGAATAGAGAGCCAAGAATTTAACTCACACACCTATGGTCAGTTAACCTCTGACAAAGGAGGCAGGAACGTACAATGGAGCAATGACAGTCTCTTTAGCAAATGGTGTTGAGAAAGCTGGACAGCTACATGTAAGTCACTGAAATTGGTACACTGCCTCATACCATATACAAAAATGGTTTAAAGACCTAAATTTAAGACATGACACCATAAAACTCGTAGAAGAGAACATAGGCAGAGCATTCTTAGACATAACTGATAGCAATATTTTCTTAGATCATTCTGCCAATGTAAAAGAAATAAAAGCTAAGATAAGTGAATGGGACCTAATAAAACTTACAAGCTTTTGCACAGCAAAGGAAACCATAAACAAAATGAAAAGACAACCTACCAACTGGGAGAAAATATTGGCAAATGATGCGACTGACAAGGGCTTAATTTCCATAATATACAAGCAGCTCATACAACTCAATAACAAAAAAATAAATAACCCAATCAAAAACTGGGCACAAGACCTAAACAGACATTTCTCCTAAGAAGACTTACATGTGGCCAACAGGCTCATGAAAAAATGCTCACCATCACTTATTATCAGAAAGATGCAACTCAAAACCACAAAGAGATGTCACCTCACACTGGTCAGAATGGGTATCATCAAAAACTGTACAAATAATAAATGCTGGAGAGGGTGTGGAGGAAAGGGAACCCTCCTACACTATTGGTGGGAAGGTAAATTGGTGTAGTCACTATGGAAAACAGTATGGAGTTTCCTTAAAAATCTAAAAATAGAGTTACCATCTGCTGCAGCAATCCCATTCCTTGGTATATATCCAGAAAAGATGAAAACTGTATTTCAAAAAGATACATGCACCCCTATGTTCATAGCAGCACTATTTACGATAACTAAGACATGGAAACAACCCAAGGGCCCATTAACAGATGATTGGTCTAAGAATATGTAGTATAAATATACAGTGGAATATTAACTCACTCATAAAAAAGAATGAAATATTGCTATTTGCAGCAACATGGATAGACCTATAGAATATCATACTTTAGTGAAGTAAGTCAGACATGTATCATATGATATCACTTATATGTGGAATCTAAAAAGTAATACAAATGAATTTATATACAGACAGAAACAAACTCTCAAACATAGAAAACAAACTTATTGTTACCAAAGGGGAGATAAGGAGGGGGAGGGAAGAACTAAGAATTTGGGATTAACAGGTACAAACTACTATTTGTAAAATACATAAGGAACAAGAATGTACTGTATAGCGCTGGGAACTATATTCAGTATCTTGTAATAACCTATAATGAAAAGTAATCTGAAATATATATATATGAAATAACTGAATCACTTTGCTATACACCTAACTCAGTACTGTGCACAGTACTTACACAATGTCAACTATACTTCATTTTTTTAAAAAATCCCTTTGAATCTGTCTGTCCTTCCCTCTGTCCCATTCCATTCCTTCTACTCCTAGAAGGTAACCCCTTTTTTGGTGATATATCCATGTTGATACATATGTTTTGCTAATCCCTTGACCTACTTATGAGATCCTATTGTATTATTTTTCATGTATCCTATTTTTTTTTAATCACAGTAAAAGCTCCACTGAAAGTTCTTATACATCTCCTTGTGTTTTGAATGTTTCTGCATACTTTATAATAGTTACTGTGTTTTTTGGTCGTGTTAAAATTATACTGTCCTCTTAACCTTGCTTATGGTGTCATTAGTTGTATAGAAATTTTAAATTTGGATATTGTAAAATATGTTATTTCTTCTGTTTATAGATTTTACTACTTGTGTCTTTCAGCTAGAAAATGTATTTTGAGTGAGAGTATGCCAGGCACTGCTTGGAATATTGGTGAACAAAGCAGACAATAGTCTCTGCATTTTTAGAGCTTAAGAAAGCTTTCTGTATCTCAAGGTCAATAATACATTTTCTTTCAATAGTTGTTAAATTTTTAAAACATTTGCATCTTTAATCTATCTGTAATTTTCTTTCCATTTAGTGTGTGCTGGGATCTAATTTTACTTTTTTACCCAGCGCTATTAGTTGAAAAGCAGTACTTTGTCCATTTATTATAGTTATAATTCCACTTCTTTTATATACTGCATACCCATAAATACTTGAATCTATTTCTGAATTCTCTGTACTGTTCTGTTTGTTACTGTGTCTGAACCATATTGTTTTAATTACTCTAGCATTATAGTGTTTTGTCATGTAGAGCAAGTTCTACCCTCTTTTTTTTTTTTGGCCAGATTATCTTGGCTATTCTTGCACATTTACTCAAACATAGGGACTTTACCATCTGTTTAAGATCAAGTTTCATAAATTATTCTATTGGATTTCTTTTTTGGAATTGCATTGTACCTGCAGTGAGTTTTAAGACATAGATACACTTATAATACTGACTGTTTCACATATGAATATGGTATAGAACCCTGTTTATTTAATCCTTTATGTCCTTCAGTAAAGTTAATATTTTGTTAAAGTTATTGCAACATTTTTTTTTGTTTTATTCTCAAGTACTACCTTTTCTTATAGTAGTGAATACCATATTTTTTCCTATCAGATTTTCTGATTATTGCTGGTATTTGGGAAAGCAGCTGTTTTTTTTATGTTTGATCTTCTATCTGGTGACTTGGTGTACTCTGTTCTTAGTCCTAATAATTGGTAGATTATAGAGAGAGTTTTCTAGGTAAATGGTCAAATTGTCTGTAGATGAGAATAGTATTGTGTGTTCCTTTTCAACCTTTAGATCTCCAACCCCCTGTCCCTGCAGCAGATTCCACTGATTGGAACCTTTAGTACAATGCTGAGTTTTAGCAGTGATAGTGAGCAGCCTTGTATTATTACTGAATTTCGTGCAGTGCTTCTGATGTTCCACTATGAAGAATAGTAATTGATGTAGGTTTTTGGTAGATGTTCTTTATCAATCGAGAAATTTCTTCCTATTTCTATTTTGCCAAGAGTTTTATTATGTATGGGTGTTAAAATTTACTGAATACATTTTCGGCATCAATTAATATAACTTTTTTTTTCTCTTTCCCTCTTGTGTAATTGCAGTGACAGATTTAAGGCTATAAAATGTTTACTTGTATTTAATTTTAAACTACTGTCAGTTTTGACTAGAAAGATGTGAGAAAACAAAATTTTAATATGCAGTATTTTCTGTTATAGAAATCTGTCTTCAAAGGAGTTGCAGGTGACACAGTAGAAAACTCAGTAGTTGACCAAAGGTAAGGTTGAATTACCAGAAAAATATTATTTTCTTAATTATGTTTAATTATTGTTAATTTTTTAGTATTAGGGATGTTTATTTTATATTCTGCTATAATTAGGTTTAAATGATCTGTCATTGAATTGACAAGGGGAAAAAAGCCAGTATTATTGTCCATAATAGTGGTTCTCAACTGAGTGATTTTTGCTTCCCTTCCCTCCCCAGATATTTGACAATGTCTGGAAACATTTTTGCTTGTCACAATTGTGGAGGATAAGGGTGCTAGTGGCATCTAATGGGTAGAGGCCAGGAACGCTACTAAACATCCTACAGTGCACAGGTCAGCCCCCAACAACAAAAAATTATTCAGCCTAAAATATTAATTGAGCTAAGGTTGAGAACCTCTGGTTTAGGAAAAAGGCAAAGTATTGATTGCTATGGAGAAAATTAACAAAAATTTTGATGTTTAATTTATTTCATGTTACATATTTATTAAACTAGATTAAAAAGAATATGTATCTTTTTAACTTTGAAATTTTCTTTAGCTTTTTAGTTCCTCTTATTACTGAGTATGATAAGCATCTGGAAGAGCTAAATGGGCAGCTGAAATATTATCAGGTATGGAATCATAGCTATAAACCATTTGGTAATATTTTCTTATTAAAAAAAGAAAAAATAGACTCTCTTTCTTTACAAAAACATTGATAAGGAAGAAAATGTTTACCTGTAATCAATTTACGTGTTATTTTCTGGTGTACAGCAAAGTGATTTAGTTATACACATTTACACATTTATATGTGTGTGTGTATATATATATGTATTCTTTATCAGATTCTTTTCCATTATAGGTTAGTACAAGATATTGAATCTAGCTCCCTGTGCTATACAGTAGGTCCTTGTTGTTTATCTGTTTTATATATAGTAGTGTGTATCTGTTAATCCCAAACTCTTAATTTATCCCTGCCCCCTCTTTTCCCCTTTGGTAACCATAAGTTTGTTTTCTACTTCTGTAAGTCTGTTTCTGTTTTAAGTATAATTTTTTTTTTTAGATTCTACATATAAATGATATCATATGATATTTGTCTTTCTCTGACTTACTTTACTTAGTATGATAATCTCTAGGACCATCCATGTTGCTGCAAATGCATTATTTCATTCTTTATGGCTGAATAATATTCCATTGTGTATATGTACACCACATCTTTTTTACCCATTCATGTGTTGATAGACACTTAGGTTGCTTCTAACTGTTGGCTATTGTAAATAGTGCAGCTCTGAACATTGGGGTGCATGTATCTTTTTGAATTAGAGTTTTTGTCTTTTCTGGATATATACCCAGGAGTGGGATTGCTGGATCATATGGTAACTCTGCTTTTAGTTTTTTAAGGAACCTCAATACTGTTTTCCAGTTTACATTCCCAGCAACAGTGTAGGAAGGTTCCCTTTTCTCCACACCCTCTCCAGTATGTATTGTTTGTAGACTTTTTGATGATGGCCATTCTGACCAGTCTGAGGTGATACTTCACTGTGGTTTTGATTTGCATTTCTCTAATAATTAATGATGTTGACCATCATTTCATGTGCCTGTTGGCCATCTGTATGTCTTCTTTGGAGAAATGTCTATTTAGATCTTCCCCCCATTTTCTGATTGGGTGGTTGTTTTTTTGCTGTTGAGCTGTATGAGCTGTTTGTTTAAATTTTTTAATTGATAAAGAACAACAGAAAGCTCTCTTTTGCACAAATGGTATTTTGCTTTTAGTTTTAGGACTAGTGAGCCTAAAGTTTCTGCTGAGTTCACTCTCTCAAAATTGCTATAATGACATGTGGTTTGATTGTTATAAAATGGAATATCTAGTTATCTTGAAATTAAACTGTTTTAAATTTTAATTTTTTATAATTTACCTGATTCATATATGTCTTTAATCAGCTAGTTTACCAAGGTGTTTAACTTCGTTTTTCCATTTGGCATTCTCCATCTAAGAGTGATTACTGGATTAATTTCAAGAGAGAGGAAGCTGTAGCAGAAAGCCTAAGGGGCAAGAATAGTTGCTACTTTTAGAGACAAAAAAGATGTTGACAGCTACTTCTTAAAACACTTGCTCACATAGATATTATTGAGTAGCAATAGCTCTTATGATTTATCTTATTGACCAGTCAAAAAATAGTATATCTTGAAAGCAGGAAAATATTCACAATAATTCTCTATATGAAAGTTTCTTCCAGAAAATGTAAATAATAGGGGAAAATTAGATGATAAGAAAGGTACTGCTGAATTTTTTCTTTCAACGATTAAATGTTTTGAAATATTTTACAGTAAATAATCTTTAGTGTTACTGTCATGATCCACCCTGAATCCTAGTTAATGCATATATCCTACCTAATTATTTGAATAATATTTTTCAAGATACGCTGACATTTTTGCAACTTTTAAAGATCGATTTTTTAAAAATAATTACAAAATGGGGATAATTGCTACAATAAAATCCAAACCTCTTAGTCTGCATGGCATTCAAGCAAGACCTGCCACCTGCCTTTCCAGTTTTACCTCTCATTGCATGGCTCCATGTGTGGTCAGTTCTCAGTTATCTGGTAGTGAATTCATTCATTTTGATTTAATTGTGATTCAGGCACAGCAGGGACCTGGGAAAGGTTCACCTTTCAAGCCGGCTTTGTAGTTATAATTGGCTGTTACTGTTTTCCTAGGGGAAGCTTCCTTGAGCTTCTCTAGTTGAAAGGGAGAGAGAAAGGCTTGGAGGACTGCCTGTTCCACCCTTCCCTTGCCAGGTTCACTCCAGGATTGGCTCTTCTCCTTTAGCCTGGGGTACCCAATCAAGAGTAATCGACAGATCATGAATTGATTGCAGTTTTGTTTTAAGTATGATTTTACATGGCCTCCTTCCTGATCTCCACTTGCTCGTTTACTCTTACTGAGAACTGATGACTATGCCTGTGTCGTCTAATATTTTTTGCTTCTTTGCTTTTACTCATATTTCACCCTACTTGAAATGCCCTTTCTTTCCTGTTGAAATCTTACAAGCCCTTTAACCCCTCAGAGAAAATTAAAAATACCTTCATTTCATTCCCTTTACAGTATATATTTTATTCGTATTGTTATTTTAGTTAGTGATTTTTTTTTTTACCATCTTTCCTACTAATGTATGTGTTAGTGACCACATTGGTTTACTGTAGCAGCCTTGTATAGTGCAGAGAGTTTATACAACTAAACAAGGTGGTCAATCAGAGACTGAATGAATTATTGCTAAAGAAGATCTTCATTTGCTTTTTTCGCCATTAACATTTTACTTCTTGAAATTCAAGCACTTACATGGGCTTCACCTAAACTAAGATGAATTACGATATATATTCAAGGTCTAGGGATCATCGGATATTTCTTATAGTGACATATTAAGGAATATCTTACATCTCTTTTCCTATAAACATCTCTAAATATAGGAATTACATTTAAAAATATTTATTAATATGTTATATAAAATATTTTTACTTATATTCTATTCAAAATGTTCTGTTACGTTCTGTGTATCATTAAAATATCTATATTTAATATTGCTTGTTAGAAGTGAAGAATAATTATTTCTTATCTGTAGACTAGTGTCATAGAATCCGATTGCTTGCATATGAATGAACTACTTAATATAAATCTAATTGTCTGGAAAATGTTTTTCTGCAACCATATTTTATTCTCTCAGAAACAGATGGGTGAGATGAAACTACAACTTGAAAATGTCATCAAGGAAAATGAAAGGTAGATCAATTAACTACTGATTATCTTATTGTTGTCTTAGGTAACTTTTATTATTGTTATTTGGTATTTTATTCATGGAGTATACTGGTTATGAGTGTGGACACTGGGGCCTGATTTCCTTTTTGACTCCTGGCTCCATTGCTTATTAGCTATATGACCTTGGACAAGTTAACCTCTGTGTGCTTTAGGGTTTCCTCATCTATAAGTGGGAGACAATAACAGAACCTATTTCTTAGAGCTGACTGTAAGGGATAAAGTAATTGCTTAAAATAGGGTACATAATAAGCACCTTATAAATATTAGCAATCATGAATAGTATAGTATAGAATATATATATTAGGAAACATACTGATAAAATGGAAACCTGTCAACCCACCATCCAGTTAAGAGCTAAAATGTTATCAATACTGGTGCACTTATCCATGTTTTCCTTCCCTATCCCATGCCCCTCCTTCCCTCTGCCATCGGTTAATACTGTCTTGAATTTTTGTTTATCGTTCCCTTGCTTTTTAAAATTTTTGTAGGTATGTGTATTCCTAATGATATATTATTTAGTTTTGCATTTTTAAAAACTTCCAAAAATAGTATTATTTAGTCTTCTGAGACTTACTTTTTTTCCACTCAATATCATGCATAAGCAGAAGAGTTTCAGGGTTGGGTCATAGGCTATGTGAATATTCAATTTTGCAATATATTGCCAACCTAATTTCCAAAGTGGCTATACCAATTTACATTCCCACCAGTGATATTTATGAGTTCTTATTGATTTGTATATTTTATCAGCAATTGCTCTTACCAGGTTTCTTAATTTTTGTTATTTTGAGTCCTAAATGGTATTTCATTGTGGTTTTAACTTACATTTTCCTGAATATCAATATGGTTAACCATTTTTCATGTATTTATTTACCCATGTGGTTTTCTCATGAAACGCTTGTTCATTTCTTTTTCCCATTTTCTCTTTATCTTTTCCTTAAATTGTCAAAGTACTTTATGTAATCTGTATTCTGAATATTTGTTAGTGTGCTGATCAGTGTAAACAGTAACCATCATAGACACTTCAAACAAGAAGGGATTTAGTCACTTACAGTTAAGTACTATGTAGGTAAGATAATTGGTTTTAGAGTCATACCTTAGAGGCTGAGATTCTGAGGCCAGGAATTTATGCTGCTGCCACCATCTCTGTAGCTACCACTACAGCATCACTTCCATGGAGCTGAAAACTTGATACTGGAAAGTGGGGCGTGAGGTACTCACTTCAGGAGACGCTCACGTCTATCAGTTTTGCTTGCCATCTGTCGTACCTAAAGAAGAATGTTCTCAGCTCACTTCTGCCTTCTATATCCCCTTCAAGTGCCCGTCACTGGTGAACCTTTAATTCCATCCACCACACCAGCTGCAAAGACATCCGGGAAACATAGTTTTAGACTTTCAGCCATTATGAAAGTTGCTGGGATATGGAAAGGGATGGGAATGAATAATGAGTGCCAATGGCGCATTCAATGTGCTAGACAATAGGTATGTTTCAGATATCTGTTCCCAGGTTGTGATATGTTTGATCAACAGAAATTTCTTTTCCTTTTTTTTTTTTTTTTTTTTTTTAATTTTGAGGTAGTTGAATATATCAGTCTTCTTATGGTTGTTGGTCTTTGTGTATAACAAATCCTCTCTCAGCCTGTGGTCCTAAAGATCTTCTCTTACATTTTCTTCTAAAAATGTTCAGAGTTTTATTCTATCCCAAGTTTAACTTTTAAAGGTCATGCAACTGGACTGAGACCTGATACATCTTTTGTTGTCGCCTTACAAAACAAAACCAAAAAATGAAGAAATACATTTTGTTTTGGTTTTAAATTCATTTAAAGCATAAGCTCTTTTTAAGTTTGGCATTCCTTTGTTTGCATTCTTCTATGTAAATCTCTTAATTGGATTTTCAGTTTTTCTCATTTATTTGTGTTTTTTCCCATGGGAAAGTTTTTCTAACTTTAACTTTTTATGATTTACTGTTCTTTCTCAAAAATCTTCCTATTAAAGACTATTGCTAAGATTTTTGAATCACCAGTGTATGTAAGTTAAGTTTGTATTTTAATGTATTGGAGATAATACGGTGTTATATGATTGAGCTAATGATTTTGTTGTTTCCTATATTTGACTCCATACTCTTCCTTTTATGTCCAGGTCTTTTGAAACCAGTCTTTTAAAAATCTGCCTTTACCTGTTTAATAGTACTGCAGTCATGGCTCATGAATGTATTTATTCTTAGTATAATAGGGAAATGGGAAAAATGGATTCTGAGCTTATTAAAAGGCACTTTTAGTAACTCGAAATGTCATCAGGTTTTAAAGTGAACCCTATGCCCTTAGGGCAACAACCTGCTTTTAAGTATTGCTGTTAAAGACTGCAAAATCAAAAAGAACTTATCATTTTTAAGGAAAATATCTTAAATATGGTCAAGTCTGAATAATGGAAGCTAGCAGTGGCATGGATTATACAATAGTATGCAATTCCACATTATTGGGTTTTGGAAGCTTTTTAATACATTTGTGTATAGGTGAGTATTTTCTGGGAATTGATTACAAATAGAAAATAATGAAGTCATTTTATAAAATGAGACTTAGGAAGAGGTGAAAAGATATTCATTTTATCATCCTTCCCATTTTTAGTTTATTCCTTTAAACTCAGTTCATGTTTTTTATTTTGTTTTTGTCTCATTTTTTCTTTAATATCATATTTCCTCCTCATAACTTGCCAGAGGATGAAAATTGGATATGATAATTAAATGAGTGAATATATATACAGCACTTCCTGGCACTAAGAAAATACTACCTTTTATTGTTATTATTTTTATTTTATTATTGAGGGTATGAAAGACATTATTTGTTGCCTCCATAAGAGCTATTTTCCCTTCTTTCATATAACCCTGATTTTGTTCCAGTTGCATTGTGCTCAGCAGAGATGAGCTTCTTCCACAATCTCAGGTGATAAAACTTTGATTATAAACCAGTGCACATTTCTTTTTACCAGGAATTTGTCTAAGAAGTATGAACATGTGACTCACTTGTACCCAGTGAAGTATAAGGGAGAGTCTGTCGTAGAGCCTCTGGGAAAGCTTTTTCTCCCTGATAAAAAGAGAGACTGGCAAGAAGAAAACTTAACCTCCTTCCTGTTCTTTGTCATTTTAGAAAGTGATATATGTTGAAGCTGCTATAGCCATTTTGTAACCATGAGAGTATGTATCAGAAACACAATGAGATTAGAAGAAGGGAAAGATGGGGAAGCCTTTGGTCCTTAAATTACATTATTGAACTGCTGAAACAAATCTGGAGCCACTTGCCTTCAGATTTAATATTTGGTGAGGTAATAAAACATTCATTCAATCATTCACAAATATTTATTGAGTACTTACTAAGTACCAAGCACTGTTCAAGTTTCTGGAATACATTAGTAAATAAAACAGACAAAAATCACTGTTGCTTGTAGTCAAAGTATAGTAACTAGTACAGAGACTTAACGGCATCTGTCAGGGATTCAGAAACTACGGCTTGAGGGCCAAATCTGGCCTGCCACTTCTTTTGGTAAATAAAAGTTTATTAGATCACGGCCAGACTTGTTCATTTGTATACTGTCTATGGCAGCTTTTGCTCTACAATGATGGAGTTGAATAGTTGAGACAGAGACTAAATGGCCCACAAAACCTAGAATATTTGGTATCTGGTCCTTTACAGAAAAAGTTTACTCTTCTCTGATACATGTAGCTATCTTTTGCTGCTCAATCTGTTAACTAGTCTTTGGTTCAACTGTCACCAAAAAGCTTTTTTGAAATTTATAACTGTCTTTACTTTTTTATTTAGGCATATATGTAGCTTTAGAGCACAGAAACAGAAAACTTCAACAGGAGTATAAAGTCAGTATTTAATAAATTAAAACAATTATATTTAGCATATTATTTATTTTACTAAGTTTGTAAGTTTTTGTTTTATGATAGTCTAATATATTTATCTTAAGATTAAAACTATTTATGATTTAGAAGATTTCAATAGCATTATAAAATAGAATTTTTTAGCACTATTTTCATTGATTTGTTCTTATTGAGCAATGATAATTGAATAATAAATAATAATATAGATCAGAGTTGTAATTTTAGGTTTGCTATCACCATCCCTAATTATTATATCATTAGTGTATGTTGATAATAGCCTATGAACACAGTATAGTCTATTTGAAAGTTGGGAGGAAGGAGTTCATGTGTATATTTATAAAAATAGTAATAAAGCCATTATTTTTCAGTACTTGTCCAAAAATGGTATTCTGTACCCCAAAACTTTATTTATATAATAGCAAAAGATGAATATATTTGATCTATTTTCCAATGAGAGAGTGAAAAGATATCTCGAATTACATGGTAAACCCTGCTGTTCTGATGCTAATTTACACCATTATACTGTGAGGAAACCATCCCCAAAAGTTCACCCAAATCCTAAGCTTTCATTATAAAGTTTAATATTTCTCTTTTTAATAACCTTATATAAATTCAGAGGTACCTTGATTTCTGTATATGTCTCTGTTTATAATAAGTCTGTGTTTGTATATTTACGTATATATATGCCTCTTACCACACCCTCCTTCGATGACTAGTCTCCAGTCAACACTGGCCATCTTACTTCGTCTTTCTTAAAACTGGCAAACCAGTTTCCACCAGAAGACCTTTTGCTTATTTCTTCTGCCTTGAATGTTATTCTCCAGACCTACACAGGACTGTCTCCTTCTCTTCAATCAGGCAGGCATTCCCTGACCACATTATCTAGCACTGTTCCTCCCTCCCCAACTTTCTGTTTTATATTATCCAATTTTATTTGTGGTACCTATTACTGCCTGAAATTATTTATTTGCTTGGTTATTATTTGTCTTATCTACTAGAATGTATCCTTCATGGAGCAGGGCCCTTGTCTATTCTGTTTACCACTGTATACCTAACACCTTTGAACAGTGCTTGATACATATTAAAT